CCTCCAAATGAACGCAGCATATTCTAGTCTAGAACGAACGAAAGCAGTAAATAATAATTTGAAGGTATAAGGATCTAAAAAGTTTAAGCTATTTCTTCTTATGAAACCTAAGACAGAATACGATTTGGAGATAATAAAGTTTATATGGTTTGTAAAGGTAAAACGCGAATCGAAAGCAACGCCTAGATCTTTGATTTCCTCAACATGTTGGAGAACATTATCAGATATGCAATAACATGTAGGCAACGCATTAACAAATTTAAAGAAGGTGATCTTAAAGCAAATTTTGATATTTAAAAATAGGTGAGAAATACGGCACCACTTGGTTAAATTATTAATATCGGCTTGAAGTCTATGCGAGTCAGCTGGGTTGGTAATGTCAGAAAATATTTTTAGGCCGTCGGCATATAAAAGAAATTTAGCGAAGGTAAAACAGCTACTAATATCATTGATGAACAAGACGAAGAGCAGAGGGCCCAAGACACTTCCCTGTGGAACTCCAGAGGATACAGAGAAGGGCCTAGAGGAGACACCATCAACAGTCACTACACAACGTCTATTACTTAAATATGATCGCAGTCAATCTAGGAACACGGAATGAAAACCTAGAGACGCAAGCTTACCTAATAAGATTTTATGCGATACTTTGTCGAACGCTTTTGAGAAGTCAGTATAGATACAGTCTACTTGGTTCCCAGCAGAAAACGCCGAAATACAGTAGTCACTAAATAGGGCAAGATTAGATACTGTGGATCTACCAGTAACAAAACCATACTGCTGTGGAGAGATTATACTCTTCGCAGCAAAATACATATTTTCCTTTATGATGCTTTCAAAAAGTTTAGATACAGTAGTCGAGAGTTTAGAAATCGGCCTGTAATTAGACACATCGTCCTTTTTGCCACTTTTGTAAATTGGAGTAACATCCGTCCGTTTCCAGTCGTCAATAGAGACCCCAGATGCTAACGATTTGTTAAAGATTAGTTTTAGAGGCAAAGCAAGCGCAGAACATTTTATAAGAAGGATAGTGGGGACACCATCTATATCCATCTTAGTAGACGCTTTAAGATCTTTGATACCATCCGCAACGTCTTCTAATGACAGACTCAAAAGGCCGAAGTTCAGAGGTGAGTTATCTTTCACGGAGAAGTAGGAGTTGGAGTCATGATTATCACAAACGAAGTTTGAATTAAAAAACTCTGCAAACAGATTAGCAACGACTGAAGGAGTACTAGCGGATCTATCTTCCCAGGAAACCGCAGATGGGACTCCAGAGGCAGACTTCCTAGACTTAATGAACTGCCAAAAATACTTAGGACTAGATTTGATGTTGCTTTCAACGCCCATAATGTAATTTTTATACAGAAATTTATTCAAGCAGTTGAATTTTTTCGAACATTGAAGATATAATGTATAAGCGTAGAGAGTATTATATCGTTTAAACCTCTTATGAAGCTTATTTCGCCGATTCTTGAGTTTTTTTAAATCTCGTGTATACCAAGGAAGCTTGAACAGCCTTTTCCGAATTAGTGGAGAATTTTGGCGACAAATCTCTACCACTTTAGACCTAAAGGCGGAATAACAATCCGAGGTAGCGGAACTCACGAGCAGCTCATTCCAGTTAACTTTGATTAAAGAATTATTGACCCTTGAAAAGTTACACTTTGAGAAATTAAGAGCCATTGTCTCTTCACATTTAGTGCCTGTAAATTCATAAAACTTTACGTTGAGGGCCACGGAAACATGATGCTTGTCTGTAGAGAAGATCGGCGAGTAACATTCCGAAATAGTAGCGTTGATATTATCACTAAGAAAAACGAGATCCAAAATTCGATTAAGCTTGTTTTTGAAACAATTCAATTGCACTAAGTTAACACTTAAAATATTATCAACAAAGTAAGATTCGACCTCTGTATTAACATTCGTTGGTATAATACCCCATTTTGACAGATTATTAGACCAGATAATATTTGGAAGATTGAAATCACCTAACACATAGATGATTAGTTGTTAACGCATTGTGAACCAAATATGAAATGTTGTCTGTATGAGTTTTATAAAGACTAAAATTACTACCAGGCGGGGTGTATGAAGCCAAAGAGCCAAATTCAGAAGTACCTTTGATGCAAACACAAATTTGATCTAATATTGGGTCATTGTCGCTGAGCGGGACAACAAATGTATGAAGATAACGCCGAACTGCGAGAAAATCCTGTACTATTGACATCCCGGTCTTTCCGAAAAACGTTGAATAAGGTCGGATTGAAATATTCACTATCTAAAAAGTTTGCATTTAACCAAGTCTCCACGAAGATTATGACGTCAAAATCCGAAACTGAGCTATGGATGAGAATGTCGTCCGACTTTGTACGTAAGCCACCCATATTTTGAAAGTTTATCTTCAAATTCTTGAACGCTGGCACGGATATTTTGGAAATGGCTAGGTTTGGCCTTTGGGATGCCCTCTTCGTTGAAAAAACTGAAAGGGATGCAGTTTAATATTGGTAGGCCAAAGCGCTGGGTCCAAAACCTAGTCATATTGAGATGCAATAACACCCAGTTTAAAATTGATCTTCGTAAGCGAGCCAATGTCAACATCCTTTTTGATGAGCTTAAAACAAGAAATGCTAGTTCTGTCGATTCCAGTATTTTTTTCACGAAAGAAATTATATTTTCCTCAGATACATTTGGTTTAAAAGAAGACAAGTGTAGCCATTTTTTCGTATCAGCGACATTTAATTCAGTACTGATACTGTGCCCAATAACAACTTTGCGTACATTTTTTTCCTTCTTCTTTTTGTTCCTCTTCGATTGCATGGTGACCAGGGTTGAAAAATGGAAATTTGAGATTGTACCTAATATCATAAAATAAATGTATCTAAATGACACAGATTGTACCTAAATAAGTTACATCATTCATTTGTAGTTTTTTTTTATAAATGTTATTTAAAACATGTATACAAAAGATGGATTATTTTTTTTAACTGAGCCTATATCTATAGACTACATATAATCTAATGGGAATCGGAGAAGCGTTGTTTTTGTCTAATTTTGGCTACTGAAAAACGTTGGCGAAAAAGACAAAAAAACACACTTTGCGAAGTATACTTCTTTATCCAGCTTTTTATAAAACAACAGGAAAAGTCTGCTTATTTATCCGATTCCTTTTGATAGGTGCAGCAAGTCTAGAAAAAATAATCAAATTGCAGGAAGTAACTTCGAAAGCATTTTAAATATATTTCCAGAAATCAAAAAGCGAATATGGGTCAAATAGCTATAGTTTTCATCTAAAGAAAATATGAAATTTTAAGACATCCTAGACACTGAACTGTATGTGTGAATAAAGGCTGGTTTTCATTATGTCATATTTTGACAACAAAGTTTGTCGCCATATTTTGACACAACTTTCTTTCCTTTATCCCTACCTTTATCGATGATATTATGGGCCAAAAACTTACAAATAGCCGCTTTAGCAGCGGATGTACACGGCTGAAGGCCTATTCTGATCTAAATCAATCAAAAGACCATCTTTTAGTCCCATTTGACAATTTTTTTTCAATCATTTGACCGCAAATGCCATTGAATTTGACTTAGTGAAAATAACCGTTAAAATTAATAGAAAAAAATTCGAATTTGAGGATAACTAAGCAAAGTGTTAATTTTTCGTAGTGGATGCTCTAAATGCAATGTAAAATGTTTAAGATAATACGTAATATGACTTTTTTGATTTCTTCCTTTGACCACTTTTCTTTAGAATGGTTTATTCTTCAAAATGAAAGCAAAGTAAATATACTAGCACGGTAAAGGAAAAAGAAAAAAAAAAACTAAAAATGCATCTGATCAAAAGATGATTGTACCTATAATCTAGTGTCTGAACCTAAATGGAAAAAGGTACAATTGTACCTACTTTTTCATCCCTGATGGTGACCCACTGTGCTTGTCCACTTGATAGCGAACCATCAGCACTGTTTATGTATTTCAGTAGCGGCAGCAACAGCGTATGTGTCAGCAGAGGCAGCAGCTGCGTAGGAGAGAGTACACCCAGGCATACAAGCAGTGTTGCCGCGCATATTTTTAGTGGTAGCCAAATTCCTTTAATAAAAGGGCTAAAAAAGAGCTAAAAAAAGTAGTTGTGGCTAAAAATTGTAGCTAAAATTTTTTACTTACATATACATATATAAGTATACACGTAAACATTTTCAATAAGTAATCGTATATAAAAACAATGAACTTTGGAAAAAAGCTAATATTTTATCCAACTAAAAACCTTTTTGTATAAAAGGGGAAATATAAGACACCAGCTTGCTGGTTCCATCAAGTGATTGTACCATCAGGCTCGAAGCATATAACTTACTAGCATGCTGGTACAATATTTATTTCTTTACAAATGAGATCGAGGAAAGATCGGAATGATTAGAGCCGAAATTTCATAATTTTTCTAGCATTTTGTTAAACATTGTTTGTTTTTGTAATTCACAACTGTAATATCGTGAACTTAATCTTACACAAACACGGCTTTGACTCATATAGTGCAAGAAATACTTTTTACTTAGAAAATTGAGCTAATTTCACCATTATCGACACCAGCATGCTGGTACAATCGCACCACAAGAACATACACGGTCAATCGACTTGATGGGTCATTTAACAAATTTAGCATATTAAGGGCCGTGAACTTATCTATTTTAAACTATAGTTAAATCGTTAACAGATAAGTTAACAGCCCCAATACTTTTACAGTATGTATTTATAAAAGCGTAAGGAATACATATATGTATATATATCTTCTGTCTTTCTTAGTTTTAAAATTCATCTCTTACATAAATGCAAAAAAAAAAACAAATTAAGCATATACAACATTTTCATGCCAAGGATGAATAAATTCTAAAAAGGGCTAAAAAAAGGGCTAGGGGCAATTTTAAATTTATGTGGCCAAAAAAAGTATGTGGTAGCTAAATCTAGCCACCAAAGGGCTAAAACGGCAACACTCCATACAAGTAGTTGTCGACGTGTGATCCGTAGCAGTTGTTAAAGCTGGGGGAGTAACCATAGCAGAGTTAACACTGTGAGCGGAAGGTTGAGATTTCTCACACGCAACGTCTATGTTACACTCAGACATACATGTATCTGACGAAGTATGATGCGTAGCAGTCTTTAAAGCTGGGGTATTAGCGATAGCAGAGTTAGCACAGTGAGTGGAAGACTGAGATTTCTCACTCGCGACGATTCTGCAATTCGAGCGAAGATTTTTAACTTCGGTAGTGAGCACATTGATCGACTCCGCAAGCCCATCGGTGCACAGTTTACTCGGCTTCGAGGGATTCCGTTTTGCTAATAAGCCGTTTATTGTCATCCGCTAATGCATTGACTATAGCAAAAACACGAACATTCTCAGCTCTAAAGGCCGGTCCACATCAAGAATGATAGAATGCAAGATTGCGCCAATCGAGCTGAGAGCAACTGGCCGTGACGTCAAGAAATACCAGAATGAGAGAGCAAAGACGAATTCAATAAGAAAAAGAAGAAGAATCGAACAGCTGGGGCGAAATTGAAAGGTTTGTTTACAAAGTGCATAATAATCGCGGATTTACGGAATTATTTAATTTTAAATGGTAAATTGGTTGTTTAAAAGTAAAGAATGTGTACTTCTTAAATGCAATGCAAATCGCTGAAAGTGTTAAAACACTGCAAGCATTATAATGATTTGCATTTTTTCAGTAATTGAACAAATACCAGCGGGCCGCCAGCGGGTCAGTTGCTGGTAACAATTTGCAGAACGATTCCACGGTGATCGTTGCATCGTCGTCAATTAGTGAAATCAGTAAGCAAGCTTTTAAAATAAAGGAAAACCTCCTACTCCGCTATACATATAATTACTTTCATTATTAAGCTACTTTTCCGGCAGCCGCAACAAACGCTGGCCCAAGCCTGCAAATTGTTGCCAGCAACTGACCCGTTGGCTGCCCACTAGCATTTGTTCAACTACTCAAAAATGCACTTTGTAAACAAACCTTTTGGGTGTTGGCCACAGCAAGCGGCTCATCTGGATGAAATGAAAAGGCTGTTAGATGTAATGCAGCAACGTGCTCCCGATGTTGAACATCAGTTCAAAGAAAAGTCAAATGAGTTGGAAATGGCGCAGCTTATCATACGCCAGTTGTCGGATAAGGCCAATGTAAACCAAGGCCGCAATCGGATAGAGACCTCGACGCAGACGCAATTTATGTACGAGCAACATATTAGAAACTTACAAGTAAGTTAGAAGTAGAAGTGCATTTGAAGACGTTTACATTATTATGTTTACGCATTTCTTACAGGCTATGGTGCAACAATTGACGTATGAAAGGAATTTATGATGGTCACAAATATATTGGCAAAAACATAGTAAGTGCATATGCAAGTTGGAAAAATTGACAATGCGTGAGTATAAAATGAATAGGTGTTCTTAATTATAAATATTACTTTACCTCTTCTTTGGCAGTGGCTAAAAATAAGAGTCTTTTTAATGATCGACCGCAATAGATTCAAGAATTGACTTACATCATGGTGTATGCGTTACAATCTAAATTAGCCAGCATGAGCACCGACTTCAAACAGATACTAGAAGTGCGTATAAAAAATCTCAACCAACAAAAAGCGCGTCGGGATCAATTCGGGCAGTCGCCAATTGCTGCTAGCACTGTTCGCTCGAGTACAGCGAAACAGGGCTCCTTGCTGTTAAGCGAAGAGAATACGGCCGTAAGCATTGACATGGCCGCAAGTGATACAACACCATTGCTGGGTGCAGTCGGAGGTTGTGGAATACAGACGCAGCAGCAGATTGCATTATATGATGACTCCGATAGTTACGTGCAACAGCGGGCTGAGACTATGCAGAACATTGAATCGACTATTGTCGAGCTAGGCGGTATATTTCAACAATCAGCACATATGGTTAAGGAGCAAGAGGAGACTGTGGAGCGTATCGATACAAGCATACAAATATTGAAGTACTTCCAAACTGATGATAAAAATCTTCGCAGTACTGATATTCATTTTTCATATTCTTCGTAGTTTTCCTTATATAATAACGAATATGTTTGTGACACGGCAAGATTTTAACAAGTTCAGATGCGCGGTCTTAAAGTTGTGGGTTTTTAAATACATAAATATATAATATCCTATTCATATACATACATATAAAAAACACTAATGTAATAATGAAATTAAGTCTTATATGCCACGTGAAACACGATAGCTTTTAGAAGCAGTCACGTAGGATTAGACACTAATTCTGCCAATAATAAAATTACTTCACTTAGTTTCACTTTTTTTCAAAATTTTCTATAAAAAGTAGAGATGATCCTGTATAATAAAACGAGAACCGATTTATGTAATCATAAATATATAAAGAAAAGTTTAAAACTAAATAAAATAGAAATTGTTATTGGCAATAAGTACATGTGCTTGTTTATTAATAATTCAAATATTATGTTCAAACAAATTTAAGTGAAAGGTATGCAATTTCAAGAAAAAAGCAATTGCTTAGTTTTTATGCATACGGCCTAATATTTCCGGTAGGAAGCAGAAGGTCAGTATGTATAAATAAAAAGCTTTATCAGGGGAACGTGTTATATTTTCAAATAACAAATAAATAAGAAATACATCGTAATGAAATGTTGCCGTTTATTGCATGTGATCTGATGCCGGATTCAATTTATAGGTTCTCGTAGGTAGCTCGTTCTCGAAGTCATCAGTGGTGAAGTGTTTTACACAGATGACGCTGGTTCGGGCGTTGAAATCCGTTGGTCTCCGGCAGAACTGGATCCACTTTTCCACCAACTCAATGTCGGCCGGAAAAGTAAAAAAACTGCACCCAGATCCTTTGGCACTAACACTAGCACAATTAATCACTGCACACCTCATTTTTTTCTTTAATTTATAACTTTTTTATAAGTTTTCACAAAAAACAAAACAACGCTCAAAATCTTTCCAATTTGTAAATTTGTAAAGTTGAAATAACCTAAAATGTCACGAACCAGAAAATGTAAACAAAAGTATTGTGTGACGTCAGCGAATGGGTGGATGCTGTCAAATCGACGAAGAGAGGGTTAGCGGTCCGCGAATGGCGCGACCTTTATTTTCTGGATCGTGGGTCCACATAGAACTTTCGCGTTGGCTTTGGCGTTGGCGTTGGTTTGACAGAACGCACGTTAAAAGTATGCTTGCTACAATGAACGCTTGGCAGCGAATGCTTGAGCCACTAAATTAACATACTAACGACAGATAAATTAATATTTCATATCAATAATTGCATTAAAAACGATATTTCTTGCCCGCACTTGATTAGAAAGGAAAAATATTTCACATAATTTTATTTATTTGCAACAGCTGACAATCGACGCACGTGAAAAGTTGAGAGTTGGCCATCTTTTTGCTTTGTGTTGGCGTGAGCGTTGTCAAATTTTGGCTATGCGGACGGCTGCATTTGAATTCTTGTATTCATAGTCAACTGTTGAATCGACGCCAACGCCAACGCAACGCCAAAGTTCTATGTGGACGGGCCTTAAGGGCAATAATCTCATCGAACAATGATTGTCAGTGTTGCCATTTTAGCCGCTTTCCGGCTAGATTTAGCCGGTTGCGATAGCAAACAGCCGGAGAAATTTCGATTTAGCCGGCAGCCGATTTGTTAGCCGTTTTGCAGAAAAAAATAGCCGTTTTTAGCCGATTTTGCTATTTGCCTTGTTTTCTTAAATTTCAAATATGTATATATGTTTCCATTTTTGACTAAGCGACCCAAAATCTGTTAGAAATGGCTACTAGCCTTATCGGGGAGAAAATTTTCATGTCAGCCAGGATTGTATGAAATTGGGCGATTTCGCTTATTATTAAAATTATTTTAAACGAAGAATGGATTTTCTTTATAAAATGATTGTTATAAATGTCTTAATTTTAAGTGTGAAGTTTTATTCGCAAACTTAGAAAATAAGAAATTGTTTCACTGTTAAGACTCTTAAGATGCGTTTGTGTTTGGATATAGTGCCAACAAACAGAATAAATATTACATGTAGATATTGTCTTCCCAGATAGCGCATATTCAATTCTGCCTAAATTAAAAAACATAATTTTTGCCCACTCCCAAACTTTTTTGCTGAGAACTTATTTAAATTCCAAAAGCCGAATGCCAACTTTAATGAAAGGAACCAACACTGAAGTGAGTCAAAATGAAAATAATAGAGCACAAATTTTTATGTAAAGCAAAACTCGCTGGGAATTCTACGAGACATCTTCCGGTCATCTAAATGGGCGATCTGCAGTCTTTTAGCATCATATTTTACATCAGAATTGAAGGGATTTCTGAAAAATCTGACCAGTTCTTTTGTGTAACTGTGATTTTGCTTCCCTTGTCAACATATGGCCTCAGTTGATGTTAACTTAAGGTCGTTGTTTTACTGCCTTAAAATTGAAGGGAAACTTTTACAGAGTTTTTTATGTGTATTGGTTTCTATTTGAGTGTATTGAGAATCGGTCAGTCTGAAAAGGCCTTGTAGGGAAGATAATAGGTTTGTTCGTCGAAAATCCAGCGAGAATTATTACTCAAAATATCAGATAGTAATAGTAATAAATAGTTTTTTTCCGAGTACCTTTCAAATCATTGGAATTAACTAAATTAATTAAGTAAACAAGTATTAACTTACATTTTTCATTTTAAAATCGCTCCAACTTGTAAATTTTTAAATTTAACGAATTTGTTTATTCAAATTATCGTCGACAAAAAATCCACCCATGTGCCACAATCATATCTTTTTCCTAATTGCAAATTCTTGCTGGCAAAATTTTTTCCGGCGCGAATTTGTAACTTCTCTCCAAGAAACAGTCTTTTTACTCGTGATTTATTTAAATAAAACATGTGAAATTTAGTTGAAACATTTTAGCCGTTTTTAGCCGGTTTTATTTGCCAGTTTAGCCGGTTCATCCAAAAAGTTCTGGCAACACTGATGATTGTAGTGATATTGCTTGCTTAGCGTCAATTTGATTGAACTTGCTGCCTGAACCTTTACACACTTGTAGAGACGGAGAGGATGAAAATGGCATTTTTAACTGATGATGAGCAGTTGCATTATTGTTGCGGGCCTATTTGACTACTTGAGGTAGCCGTGTTGTTAGACAAAGCAGCAACTACACTGTCCTCAGAAACGACGATAGGTGGTGGCGAACGCATGAAATCACGCCGAGCCTCAGCACAACCATTGCAGATAAATGGCTTATCAGAATTGAGCAAGAACTCAACATCAGTCGGGTTCATATTTACACAAGCTAGGTGAAACAGGTCATTACCAGTGTTGCCGTTTTAGCCCTTTGGTGGCTAGATTTAGCTACCACATACTTTTTTTGGCCACATAAATTAAAAATTGCCCCTAGCCCTTTTTTTAGCCCTTTTTAGAATTTATTCATACTTGGTATGACAAAGTTGTATATGCTTAATTTGTTTTTTTTTTGCATTTATGTAAGAGATGAATTTTTAAACTAAGAAAGACTGATATATATATATATATGTATTGCATGTTCCTTACGCTTTTATACATACATACTGAAAAGTGTTGGGGCTGTTAGCTTATCTGTTAACGATTTAACTATAGTTTAAAATAAATTTGTAAATTTGCTAAATGACCCATCAAGTCAATTTACCGTGTATGTTCTTGTGGTGCGATTATACCAGCATGCTGGTGTCGTTAGTGGTGAAATTAGCTCAATTTCCTAAGTAAAAAGTATTTCGGCGGAAATTTCTTGCACTATATGAGTCAAAGCTGTATTTGTGGAAGATTACGTTCACGATATTGCAGTTGTTAATTACAAAAAAAAAAACAATGTTAAACAAAATGCTAGAAAAATTATGAAATTTCGGCTCTAATCATTTCGATCTTTCCTCGATCTCACCTGTAAAGAAATAGATATTGTACCAGCATGCTGGTAAGTTATATGCTTCGAGCCTGATGGTACAATCACTTGATGGAAACAGCAAGCAGCTGGTACAAAAAGGGTTTTTGCTCGGATAAAATATTAGCTTTTTTCCAAAGTTCATTGTTTTTATATACCACTACTCATTGAAAATGTTTACGTGTATACTTATATATATATAAGTAAGTAAAAAATTTTAGCTACCATTTTAAGCCACAAGTACTTTTTTTAGCTCTTTTTTAGCCCTTTTTTAAAGGAATTTGGCTACCACTAAAAATTATGCGCGGCAACACTGGTCATTACACTTAGCACATTGTATTTTATGCTGTGTCTGCTCCTTTTTTTGCCCACAAACACACGGCATTATGATATTATACTCGACAAAATTTAGCAATTTGATTAGAGTCTCTATCTCGGTAACAGCAAACCACAGTAGTGCACAAGCACATCAACATTTGCACATATGTTGGGCGATGAGAATAATATAAAATACGAAATTTTCAACTAGACAGAGAACGCGAACTGAAGACGTCCGCACGGCTTGACTGCTTTAACATTACTTGAGACAGAGAACGCGAACTGAAGACGTCCGCACGGCTTGACTGCTTTAACATTATTTGAAATTGGTATAGAAATAAGATACCGTTGATTTTTGAGAATTTTTTTCGCTGATGATGTTGCGCATTTTCTCCGTATAACGAATGCGTGAGGGTTTTTTTTTATGGGAAAAAATGCCGAAGAGTGTCAGTATGTAAAAGACTTATTCTGGAGGCTTAACTCCTGCTAAACGACCGAAATGATTTTAATGATAATTTCTAGTGGCGCTGGATCCGAGTTATTGCTAAAAATCGTCGATTCGGAGGCCCCAGGGATCAAAGTCAAATGGCTCCCGCTAAAACAACCATAAGAACCATTGCGGTCATTGCTTTACGGTGACTAAACAGAATGTGGACCAATGATACTCACCAGTTTAGAAATTGCCAACATCTATACTATACAGATTCAAGGACGATTCACTATCGAGCCGCAAGGACTTCTTCCCGGTATAACGCTTTCGTCAGGTTATTCAAGAGGCAATGGAGGATATGCCTTCTGTCGACCACAAAACCAAACGTGAACGTGAATTGCTGGCGAAAACGTTGGACCAAATGTTTCAATAAAAAAATTAATTTTGGGTGGGACGAAGTTCGTCGGGTTTGCTAGTTTATTATGAAAAAGAAAAAAACACTGTATTCTGGGTGTATATAATTACAGATAGGTAAAAGTTCCAATATGTTTGGAAAGCGCCACATCCCTTTTCCAGTAGCCCTAAAATTTATATACCAACATCCAGAACACTACCACAAATACTTGCAGAGATATACGGTATGAAAAATTCGATATGTATGGGTGATGCCACGCTCCCTTAATATATCGAAAGTCTGCAGTAGGTGTCCAAAATTTCAAAAAATCGGTACAGCCGTCCGGGAGATCACCTCTTATAAAAAGAAGGAGCTTCTC